TGAAATAAAACTATAAGAATGGCTAAAGAAAAGACCACTACAAATGCTCCACGTCACAAGCTTTCGAAATTTCTAGCTTAAAGAGGATTCCAGCAACACTCTTCTTACTCAAGAGTTCTTTCTTTCTTCCTCAAAAATTTGTAACAACTCCCAAGCCACAGAAGATGAGAAGGAAATGTAAGTTAGAAAAGATTTTGGCAGCACCTTCCCCACTCTCCAAATTTTGGCCAACCTTAAAATCTTCCCCCAAATGAGATTTTATAAGCATTAGAGGAGGAGATCAACCACCTACCAGCCACCATAGTAAGCAAATCGTGTGAGGGGAGAGGAGGAGAAAGATTTAAGGCAAGAGGAAATGCAGCCTAGGGCAGAGAAAGGGTTTTGGCCAGGTGGAGTTCCATCGTTGGAGGGCTGCTCGGTTGAGAGGAACTCGAGGAGGCCGCGTGCGTGAATGGACCGCGGAATGCCGCGAGAAGGCAGTCGAGCGAGATTGGCAAGGATTGCCGCGGATCGTGGAGCTAGGGCACGGGCGAGGAGCGATCGCGGGATCGAGCTTGGCAGGGAGAGCCGCGGATCGTGGAGCTAGGGCACGGGCGAGGAGCGATCGCGGGATCGAGCCGAGCGCAAGATGGAGGATTTAATCGTGCCAGGAGAATGGGAAATAGATATTAGGGTTTTATAAATATTATATAATTAAAAAGAATAAGTATGAAAATACTTAATTTTTTAAAGTAAAAATTTGATTTGCACATTTTAATTCGTGTGAAATAATTGCAAATTGGATACCCCTTTTAGGTAATTTCGACATTCCGGACGTTCCGGCGCAGTCCGTTTCGCCGTCGGAAGTCGTTTTGACGAATTCATCGATTTGGGTGCCAATTTTCTCGTGTCGAAAATATGGCAATATGAGTGTACTTTCCTACCAAAATGGGTATCGCGGACGCGTTGGCGCGGTCCAATTTGTCGTCGGAGGTCATCCGGAGAAGTTCAAATGTGTGTATGTGACGAAAAAGAGTCGTGACGATGTCTTCCTAAGGCTTGAAGTCCTATTTGGAACATTTCCCTTGAATCTTCGCAAAATAGCCCATAACCGCTCGTTCATAAGACGATGGTCTTGTGCCAAAGATGCTAGACATCAAAGGAAAGTAAAAATTGGCTAGAATTTCTAGAAGGGTGAGTCTCAATTCTAGTTTTCTAAGACGGTCAATATGAACTCTTAGAGCTAGATCCTAAGACCCTAGAAAAAGAAATGACCTCAAAAATGAGGTCAACACCGAGTTGTTTCTTTGGAAGTATGTGCCCCCATTCTCTATTGATGGTGCGATGAGAGCACCATATCATTTCATCTGCAGGATTTTCTAGGTTCCAATCATACTGCCCTTTTGTTGAACTAAACTGTCATTTTATTTTATTGTCACTTGAGCAAAGCTATCTTGCATCCTTGCCATGCTTGGATATTAGTAGGTTGCACCCCAGGAGCTGATATCATGCTAGAATAATTTTGAAAAGTGATTATAATATTTTTGTATGACGTAATTATATCAATTATTTTCTCACCTGAAGTTAAGTATGTAGTTTTTATTTAGTTATAAAATACATGGTTTGTTGCTACATTGAGATCAAGATTTGGGATTGTGTTGTCTAACATGGCTACCAAAAACAATGCGATAAAAAAGTTCTTTAAGTTTGTTAGGGCTTATGCTGACAAAAGTTATATGATTGACATATTTGGTATTTTTTTAAGGAGTTCTAATTTAATGGCATCATTCATGACCATATTTGAGGTCTCAGAACAATGTTACTCATGCATACAGCTGTATATGTTTTTTTTTCTACTGATCAACTCAAACTTTGTGGAAACATTTTTTTCCTCACTTGTTTCGATGTTTTTGATGAGACTAAAGTAGTTTTACTTGCAATTTTCTAATTTGTGAAACATTAATAGTTTCTCTTTTTCTGCATTAGCAAATGGAACTTTTGTCATGTCTTCGATTTCCCTATCTGTCTTAGGGCACTCTCTGAAGAAAGCTTAAAATGATTTGTCAATAGAGTGCTCACAGGTTTTGTTTTACTCCACTCCAGCATCTGTCCCTTATCTGGTATATGAGTCATGTCATATCTAAAACTGAATAAACAATTAACAGTCACATATTAGTACATACTTCTGTTTGCATGAGCCAATACAAAAAAATAGTTGATATTTTCACAATTATAAATTTTTAACAGTAACATTGTTGTCCTCATAAAAATAACTACAGAGATATGGCTACAATATTGACTTAAATCAATATTTTCATAAAAAATTTTACATCTTCAAAGTTTTTGTAGTGCGTTCAGATCAACAAGAGACTAGAATAATTTATGATGCTCATCATTTGTATAATTCCTTCTGTTTTTTTTATCGTTGTGTAAACTTGATGGAGGAAAGCATATGAATTTCTTTCCATCCTCACTTCTTTCTTCCTTCGCAAGTCCCGTGCTTCCTGAATGTCAAAGTTGCTTTTTAGGAGTTGCCTGTTGGTTTCCATCTTACTGTTTTGACAATCTTGCCAGTTTTGTGGAAGCGGTATCCTACAAACTGATTGTTTTTTCAATTCCTTATTTTTTTTTTTTGTGTAAAACCACTATAAAGTTTTTTTTTAAATTTTCACCTTTGCTCATTTAATATGACAATATTATTTAATAGGATTTTCTAGCTTATTACAAAATTGCTTTTTGAGATCATGTTTTCTCCTACCCTCCACTTTTAGTTGTCTGATTGTGTGCTTTTTATTTGTTTAGGAATCAAAGTGCAGAGCCTCAAACAAGGTCAAATTATTATGGATATTGATTTAAGATGGGGTGGAGATCCGAGTATAATTTTGGCAGTTGAAGCTCTTGTTGCTTCTTTACCTATTCAGGTTAAAAGTTTCACTCTGTGGTTGATAGTTCTTTGCTACAAAGCATTATTATGAATTCGTTTGATCAGAATTCAGGATTCAATTTATTTATAATTGAGATGTTTTTTAGAATTCTGACCTTTCTGACTACTTTGTTTTGAAACCAGTTGAAGGATCTTCAGGTTTTCACTATTGTGCGTGTCATATTTCAACTTTCTGATGAAATTCCTTGTATTTCTGCCGTTGTAGTTGCTCTCCTTTCAGAGGTATAAATAGCTTATTCCTCTGTTAATCATGTAATTTTCCATGGTTTTTATTCTTGTTTTTTGAAAATTTTCATTTGTATGCCTATTGCTTTCCCCTTCATGCAATAATTTGCATTGTTTTTCTCTAGTTCTTTTGAAAATTTGTTATGTCATGGATGATGAATCAATCGGTGTTGAGAGTTGAGACATAATTTAATGAAAATTTGTTTATTGCATTTTCAGATGTGCTAATGTGTTAATGATGCCAAGATCGAATTACTACATGTGTTGTTGCATATATTGTTTTTAGAAGGTGAAAACTTTGACATTTTTATGCAAGCTTGAGTAGAAGTCAAAACTTTTAATCCTTTAATTCCACCTGTTTTATTTTTCAACCGATCATATTCATCACTTAGGTATGAATTCTAATTCAAAATTTTTCACAACTTGGATTGTATCCCAAATTTATTAATGGTTGTAGCACACAGATACAAGATAAAATTTCACTGAAGTTGGCAGCATATTATTTGATTACAAAATTGCATATTAAAGATTTGGAGAGGCTATTGACAATTGTTCAATAAAGTAACATCACTCGCCATGATAGATTAAATTTCTAGAAAATTAAGTTTGGTAAGCAATAGATGAACTGCTAAAAAGCATATTTGATGAAGAGAGTAATTTTTAATTGTAGATTAGGTCATTGAGGTTCTTGGAAGTTGTGTTAATAGGGGTTTCATGATCAGGCATGAATTAAGAGATAGAAGTGATGGGATAAGTTATATTGGATTTTTAGTTATATTTAACTATGCAATGATTGGCATGTACCCGATGCTGGGAGTACCATTGGTTACCATCTAAATATAGGGTTTTGTAATTTTATTTTTTAACTTTAAAGGAAGGAGCTCTATGGTTGTGAAGTGATATGATAAGAATTTAATCATACAATTCAAAGTGGTTGTTATAGATGCACATTTGCAAAGTATAAAAAAAGAAGTAATCTATAGAAATAGTTGACCTAGGATGACAATTGAGATGTTGCTAGTCATGTGAAAGTGAAGAAGTTGAGCCAAGCTTGACAAAGCAATTGATGCACTAACGTTAAGAAAATTATCAGATAATGTAGAAGGGTTTAAAATAAATCTTGAATTATAAGACTTAGTGAAAGATGAAGATATAAAGAAAGATTCAAGCATTATATTTAAGTAACTATTAGTTAAGAGCTTGAATTAAAAATTGAGTAACAATTTGAATGTAGTTATGAAGTATGTGTATTTTTCTATGAAGATATGAAGTTGATCTAGTTTTGAACCTATGTAGATGTGAAACTTTAAGTTTCAGTATCGTTTATTCTGATTTGAAGAGTTATGGGAGTTACTAGAGATGCTAACAAAATTTTTTTTATGAAATCTTAAAATATTAGTATTGCACGCTACAAATTATTTTCACTGCTAGTATATTTTAGGTAGTACTATAAAAATATTTTGAACCTTTGTAAATGTGAAACTTTAAGTTTCAGTATCATTTATTATGATTTGAACAGTCATGGGAGTTACTAGAGATGTTAGCAAATTTTTTTATGAAATCTTTTAATAATCTTTTTAAGCTTCTTAATTTTGAGGATTTATTAATAATGTGATTTTAAGATTTAATATTGAAATATGATATTTTTATAAGTTGATTTAAGTGCATGGGCTTGGGGTGTAATTAATAATTATTGCTTGATTTAAGCATGAAACCCTCCTCAGCTAAGATCGGCCTAAAAAATTGCTCATTTCACAAGTCTATTTCCCAATTCTATGGAGCTCCCTTGAAGTAAACAACTTGTCGTTGCTTGCTTTAAGGGAGCTCCATTGAGAATAGAATCATTGGATCTTAGTTTGGTTAGTTATCATTCCCCACCAGCCCCCATAGGCTTATCTAGATATACTTCTTTTACAATTCAAATTGTTTTCCTGAAGAAAAAATTTACAGAGTTTATAGGCTAACCTTGATTTGAAATTCTCTTTCGTGATTGAGGATGTTAATTAATCATAATGGTTTATGCCTATCTGACAAACAATATCATAAATTCATTGCAATGGGATTAAATATTTGGGTTATGTTTAACATGATATTGAATTTTTCTTTTGAAAGTTCAGTTTGGATACTCAAATAATGAAGAGTTGGGCGAATACTTTTAGGTCAAAAGATTTTTTGAATTGTCATTAGGCAATGTTTTTTTTTCATCTTTATCTTCAGACAGGCTTTCAATTTTAATGTTCCATTGTTGGAGGTGCCATAAGGAGTCTGTGAAGAAGCAGCTCGTCACTCAGAAGCACAAGCTTCAATTAACATTTTTTTAAAAGGCACAATTAAGATTAAAATTTAAATTATGTTACTCCCAATCTCATCTTTAGTTTATGAACTCTTTTTTGATATTGAGCCCTTTTAAAATGTAAACCTTTGAAGCTTTTGTATCTCCACTCGTGAAGCATTATTGTTGCCTACCTTCCTGGAGCTTGTATTTCGCAACATTATAGCTTTTGATTAGTGTCTATTCTTTTATATAAATGATTCTAGGGAAGCTTCGTCCTCAACAAAAATTCTTACAGAGATTTAGAAGGAAAGTCAATGCAAGGTGGGACCTACTCAAGCTACTTCAATCGATTAAATCTCGAATCTGGGAGTTAATAATTTCAATTTCAACAAGTATCGACTTCAACTCTTTGCAAACAATTTAACACAATAGTTCATTTGATGAGCTCAAGTCATTCATTAGAACAAAATTTTCTTTTTTTTTGGGCTAAGAAATAAATTAATAAGTTTTCTTCTTTTATCATATGGAAGATTTAAGAAGCTTATAAGGGGAAGGAACCACATGAAGGCCTAAAAGAAATCATTGATATGAACCCCTACAGAGCCAAAGTTGAAGGGGTGTACCTATGAGCCTGCAATGAAAGGACTTCAATTTTCATATATATTTTTTTAAAGTTGAATTGTCAAGCATAATGATTTGTTGAGCAAGCCATGCTTAATGAATATCAAGGTTTGACATTCTAGCACTATTCTAGAATATCTATCATCAGAAGGTTTTGCCACTTCAAAATTTGGTCATAGAGCATGGACTCGAAAAATTAGTGTCCGGCTCTTTTGAGAGAGTTTCATGATTTCAAGTCAAATTTTAAGTAGGAAAATTAGATTTTTGATAAGCTATTATCTTGAGATTTTACTCTAATTTTTCTTGGGGCTTTACGACTAGTTTTAGGTTTTCATTGGCACAATCTCTTATGGTTAATTATCCCTCCTGGTGAGTGAGAATTTTCGATTAAAACTAATTGTTAGGCCCTAAATGCTTAACACAGAGTAACAACAATTTGTTTTAGAATTAAACAAGTATATGATGTTAGTTTAGAGTGAATCGTGGTGGATGGTGGTGAACTTGTTCAAGATCCCATGATTTTTTTGTCTTGCATTGTCGTGGATCCTAGTCTACTTAGTCTGATGAGATAATTGACCCACCGCAATTGGAATTTCATTATTAATATTCTTTTTTTCTATCATTCAATGGGACATTGTGGACCTGGGGTACATATTTGGCTAATTGGATAATATTAAGATATTGCCTAATAGAGGGCTTTTGCTTATTATATGCATTTTATAATTCACTACTCAGGGGATTTAACTAATTGGGGAACTTATAGGTTCTAATTGTGGTAGTAATTTAATGATATCAATTTGCATTGAACCACACAATCAGAGAAATTTGGTTATAATCGTTCCTTGACATGGTTGTCATTTAATGCAAAATCAAGTGGCCAGAAGACTTGCCACATTTTTAAAAGTATGAGATCTTTAAGAGTTATTGCACAACTATTCTTGTTGTCAAGTTGCATACAATATTTTATCTTTGAATTTAGAAAGATCCCCTTTTATCCACTTATAAATATGTATTATGGATTCCATAACGATTATCACAAATTGAATTCTTTTTTGGTACTTTGAGGTGTCATAGTTTGTTTTCACATGATTTTATTAAAGTGTGATGAGCCTCAAAATGAATTGTTTATTTTCCTATAAATAGGAAAACTTTATAGGGTCTAAAAATTCATGCCCAAATGTTTTGAGAGATTTTTGCTCTAAGTTATACTTTTCATATGAAAAATTAAATTTTTAATGAGATTTCACCCTCATTTTGGAGAATTTTATGATTTAGTTCCTGGTTTTCCATGGCATAAGCCCTTATGTTAACGTTCCCTTTTTAGTGATGAGAGAATTTTCAATTAAGCCTAATCATTAGGTGCTAAGTGTTTAGTGCTTAGTAGTAGCAATTTTGGTTCTAGGTTTTGTCAAAAAAATATTGTGTTTAGCTTAAAGAAAATGGTGAGGGCAATGATGTAATCCAATCAAGATCTCATGACTTCATTATCCTGATTTGTGATGGTCATTGATTTAGAGGAATGGTCAACTCAACATGATTGAAGAATTTATATTAGTAATCTGTTGCATTGTTCGAGGGGCTTTATAAAACTAGGATAGTCGTTTGTCTTAGGGGATGATTTTAAGTCGACCTTAGTATGCTTTATGACATATCAATTGCACTCTATAGTTCATCATTTAGGGGATTTGAACAATTGGAGAACGTGTGCATTCTAATCACAACCTTAATTAATAATGTCATTTTATGATGAATCTTCTTGTTAAAAGGCTTCAGCCATAACTACTTCATTTATGTTATCCTTTGTTAGCAAAATTTTAGGTATATGGCACATGTCGTGTCATTACTAGTATGAGATTTTTGAAAGTGATCGTAGAGATATATTTGATATGATTTGATATCACATCAACTCATCCTGAGTTAAGGCTATCATACTTTTATCACTATTGATAAATTATTGTGAATAGTGGGCAAATTATTAATATAAGCTTTTAGCATTAAATTTCATTTGAAAATTTTTAGATTCTATAATTTTGAATTATTTAATATCTTTGTCATGAGTTGATCCCAAAGTTTTTTACATTAATATTTGGGGCATTTTGAT